CATTAGCTAGACTCAAGTCAGCACACATACTCCATAAATACTGATTAAATAATACAAACAATCCTCCATTTCTCACCAACAACATTTGTAAGTCAATTTAATATTTATGTAGTATTTGGGAAAAGTCTCACAGAAATCTTAAGCTCTCGATAAAGGGCAAAAGGAAAACGTAAAGTTTCTTTGCAGAATGAAAACTGGGAGGCCTGCTTCAAAGGCAGTTTATGTGCTCTATTAAAAAAACTAACATTGGGCCAGCCTGGTGGCGCAGCGGTTAAGTTTGCACGTTCCGCTTCAGCGGCCGGAGTTCTCAGGTTCAGATCCCGGTTGTGGACATGGCACCACTTGGCAAGCCATGCTGTGGCAGATGTCCCACATATAAAGTAGAGGAAGATGGGCACGGATGTTAGCTCAGGGCCAGTCTTCCTCAGCAAAAAGAGGAGGATTGGCAGCAGTTAGCTCAGGGCTAATCTTCCTCAAAGAAAAAAACAAACCCTAACAATTATTTTGTTTTGTCTTTCTAGAGACTGATACTCTAACATTATCAACTTGAAAACCCAGGAGGAAGCTTTGTCACACATAGCTTGCACCTATGGACATTCAGACATAGCATAAGTCACACAGGCAGGACAGGAGACAGAGCAGCTTTTTGTAGCTGGAGCAGGTATGCATGACTCAGTTTCTCCACACCAGAGCCATAAACAGGTGCCAAGAGTCCACAGAAGTCTGCCAAAGGGAAACCTCAGCGACTCTGGGTCTTTATTTCCAGCCCAGACTGCTCCCTTGAGTTCTGGCCCTGAATGCATTTCCAGTGGCTTCCTACATGTCCTACTGGTACCTCACACTCAGGTCCAAAACTAAACTTGCCCAAACTGCTGCTGCTTCAGTGCCCCCATCTCAGTAAGTGGAACTAGTCATATAACCCAGAAAACTGTGGAGTCATTATTAACAGCTCCCTCTTCTTCATTCTCCCCCAAATTGAACCCATTCCAGCAAGTCCTAATGAGTCTACCTACAAATCAGATGTGGTATCTGGAATCACACACTTTCTTAAAACCCTGTCATGGCCCCTCCTATCCAAGAAATGAAAGGCAGCTCCTCAAACTGACCCAACCACCAGATGCTGGCTCCCCACTCCTCCTCCTCCAAGGGCCTCAGGAGTAGCCACCCTCACTCTGTCACCTCCTGCTTTGGAAAACACCATACTTCTTCCCTCCTCCTTGACTTTGTTCATATATGCCCTTCCCTCTTTCCTTCTCCTTCTAGTGATATGAAACATCCTTCAAAGCCTAATCTAAATCCTCCTCTTTGAGGAAGATGTGTAGAGGCCCAACCATCCAGGGTAAATCAGTTACTCCTTCCTCTGCGCTACCAAGGACGCTTAGTCACATATTCAAGCACAACACAAGCACTTCGGGATATAATCATTTGTCTCCAAGTCTTTCATTTGTTTCCAAGTTTTTCCACCCCACTGGCCTGTGAGCTCCCTGAACGCAGTACCCATATCTTATTCCCACTGGCTTTTCCCCAAGCCCCAGCGCCAAGAGTGCCTGTAACAATGTGAATGTGTGTTGAATGAAATTTGAGTGGAGGCTAAAACTAGAAGAATGATATTTTTATCACAACTTTTTGTTTTACCACCATTAGCCATCTGCTTTCCCCACAACCATGATTACCACATCAACCTAAACAGCTTTCAGTTAATTTAAGAGGAGTTGGAGGATTTTTAGTCCATTTCATTCTCATCACTCAAAAATCTGGGTACCTGTGAACTGCTGTGCAAACAGATTTGGACACAATGGTCTTGACTCGCTGGGGGGAAGGAGAGAAGGGACAGCTGCTACCGCTGCTCTTGGCAGATGGAAGAAGGGTCCAGTTTCCTCCCCTCCCCTCAAGTGCCAGGCTTGCCATGCTCGCCAGGCTCAGAGGCAAGATATCTCTGTGCAATGACGGACTGACGTGGGGGTACCCAGGCCTTCTCATCACTAAGTCCAAGGCCTCTCCAACCAGGCCACATTGGCCCAAGTACTTTCAAACTCATGAGTCAAGTGCTTTCCACCTATTCCCTGGAGCTTAATGGAAAGGATCCTCTTTCGATGCTTTGGTGTGGCCACGCCTCAATACTCCCTTTTCTTCTAGAACAGGCAGAGAAATAAGCAAAACAAGCTATGTACTTCAGACACAACTGAACTATTTTCTTTTCTAGAGCAGACACATCAGTTGGCAATATTTATTTCTGAATGTGATCATTGTTAATGCCTTCTGGAGTGATTAAAATAAACTAGCTACCTACTTGACTACAGAAGTGTTTAATTTTATAAAACAGGAGGAATTTTACGATTACATTTTCTCCTTTGTATAGCTGCAGCTCTGGGCGAAAGAAGAAGGACCCTGTTAAGAGGTCCTGCCATTGTCTGGGATGGACTTTCAGCCTGAGAATCTCTTTCTGCCATGATATTCAGAGTTAAGTGACTAACTTCAAAATAAGGGCAAATAAGGAGGCCCAAATCAGGAGTTCATTCTGTTAAGAACAACAAGGAGAAATTTATTAGCATGTTATTTTACTTACCTATGAAGATACATCATATGTGAAAATCTTTCTCAGAACTGTTTAAAAATGTATTTTCCTGGGGCCAGCCCGGTGGCTCAGCAGTTAAGTGCGCATGTTCCACTTTGGTGGCCCGGGGTTCACCAGTTCGGATCCCGGGTGCGGACATGGCACAGCTTGGTAAGCCATGCTGTGGCAGGCATCCCACATATAAAGTAGAGGAAGATGGGCATGGATGTTAACTCAGGGCCAGTCTTCCTCAGCAAAAAGGAGGATTGGCGGCAGATGTTAGCTCAGGGCTAATCTTCCTCAAAAATATATATATATATATATATTTTTTTTTTTCCTGATGACTACATTCAAAAGGAAAGGACCGAAAAGAGAACCATTCAGGAGTGAAATAAGCAGCCAAGATGAGAAAAACCAAGTGTCCCTCCTGGGGTCATCACACCTCCCCTCTGGCCCTCTCACCACCCAAGGTCCCCAGTCGCAGGGAACCACACCTCAAGCCACTGAGCTATACAAGCAAAGAGCCGTCTTCATTTTAATTCCATTACACATATAATAACTCCAGTTGGCCAAGCCAGACCCCTGGATGATTCACTGGCCCGCTTGCTCACACTGCTCTCCCAATAGCAGGCAGTTAGCACTCTGGGGCTCTTCATCTGCCATTTTAAGTTAAAAAAGAAAAAAACACACTCCTTTGAGGGGTTGATGACCATATAAAAATTTGATCCTCTTACTTTGTTTTGTTTAAAGAAATAAGTTGAAAAATAATAAGGCAAAATTTCCCTAATTAATCTAATGAAAATTATTCTTGTTTTCAGATTCCTTCTTCATGTTCGGGGTCAGAGAAATTAGTCATCTACTCCTAAATCAGCTCCAGAAAAACGGCAGGGAAACTACACCTTGCCCTCTGCCTTTTCTCTCTTCTCTTTTTCTCTCCCGGCCTTGCCAGATTTCACAACTATCTATTCTCTCCTCTTTCAGGTTTTGCTTCCACCTGAAAAAGAGCAAAATTCCTTGAAATATTAAAAATACTAGCTTCTCCTACTTTGCTCACAACCTCTGAATCACTGGGCACCTTTAACGGCGCTTCTCTAGTTCGCTAGACACTAACCTCGCCGTCAACATCCGCCGCAGCAGCATCTAGGCGTTCGTGTTTTAAAATATTTAAGAACTGATCACGTTTCACGACCATTTCTTTTTTCTTTTGAATATTTTCATCTTAAAACCCCTAGCGCATGGTTTCATGGTAATTTTACTTTCAGACTTATAAACTATGTCACTATTTACAAGCAGAATCTGAATTTATAGAATGAAGCTAGTACATGTTTGCCAGTAACAAGGTAAAATTAAGGACCACCGGTAAAATACCTCATTAAATTTTTACAGCTATACATTAAGTTTATCTGGTCCAATTATTAAATAAAAACTCCATTTCTCAAATTCATAGGACAGTTAAAAGCCACAACCGTGCCCCAATCAGGTCAAGAGCATGCCATTCTTTCTCTTGTTGATAGAAAAAGATTTGAAAGCTTTCTGAGTTCCTTCCTTCTCTCAGTCAATTTGGCTATATTCCTCAAAGAAACAACGGTTTCACAAACATCAATTTAAGCACAAAACCACTTTAACTTAAGTTGTTCTACCAACCATAAAAGCTTTTCCTCAAACTGTATTGTTTACTTTGGAGGGTTCTCTTTGCTTACGGCTATAAGCTCATTTGTTTATGTTTACCTAAGTTTCGATCACGTCCACCCCAGCTTTTTGGATACATACGCGTGGCTTCAGTGTTTACGTTGTTACCACGCCATTTTACAAGAATGCGTTGTCAGGAGTAGCTAAGAGCTCTACGCTCTCGGTCTCGTTGTGCCCACATACACATCCCAATGCAAATAACTTATCATTCCAAGAAAACACAAAAACAAAAACAAAATACAAAACACACAAAAACCTCAAGTGGAGCCTTTGAAAATCCACCCTTGCGACGCAGCCTTCAAAATCGGAAGTCCTATGATCTCACAGTCCACCAACAGCTCCGTCTAGCCCCTCGCTTTCCATCCCTCCTCACCCGTGCTGACAGAGGCCCGTCTGGCCTCCCTGCCCAGAAGAGCCTCTGGTTTTGCCACTGGCTCACTCTCCTCAACAATCTGTTTCTCAGGTTTGGGGGATGCTGGGAACGTTCTCGAAATTTCCCGAAGAGTCTAAGAGTGACCCCCTGCAGTGCCACTCGCAATGGCGTCCCTCTGAAGGCCTCAGAACACCAGGCTTCCCACTGGCGGCCCCCACGGTCCTCTCCTCCCCACCCAACCGCCCTCCCCTCCGGGGGTTCTGACGAACACAAAGCCCCCCAGGGAGACGTCTCTCAGAGGGGCTACTGAAGGCACCTCACCCGCAGCAGGGGCCAAAATGGCACGGAGCCACCCGAGGCCTTTTCTCTCAGATGAGCCCTCACCTGCCGTGGCCCAGCCCGCCTGCACTCGCCCTCTCAGAAGCCTCCACGGCTGGCAGGGAGCCTGGAGACCAGGGGTTTATAGGAGGGGGCGCCCTGAAGCTCCTCCTCGGGCCCCCCCCACCCCCGCCTGCTGGAAGCCTCTAACGGTTTCTGAGGGAAGAGTTCTCTGCTTCCTTAGACGACGACACCACCAAGGGCTGGAGGCTCCCAGGGTGCAAAGCGGGCGGCGCCGAGCATTTCCGCCTAGACCCTGAGGTGTCGGCGTCCCACAGCACAGGCGACGCCACGCAGCCAGCCGTGTGCTTGCGGAGACAACGTTACGCTGCAGGCCAAGCCCTCTGCCGCGGCTGAACCCCAACACGTTCGCTGAGCAGAGCCTGACGACGGGTGTGGAGCCAGGAGATGGGGGTCCTTTGAGTCCAGTGGGGGCTCCATTGTGGAGCTAAAGAAGCTCAGATACCTCCTAATCAAAATGGCAGTTGTAGCCAGAGAAGAACCAAAATTTCGACCGTGGTTGAGTACTATGTATCAAATCCTGAAGGGTGGTTGCGGCTCAACAAGGCAGGCTCGGTGGTGCCTGGTATTCCAGACGTCAAAGGGAGGGTAACTGCAAGGTGTTCCCCTTGACCTGCCATCTCATTAAACATGGCGATCCTGACCCCAAGGCAGTTTCTTTCACGCTTTCCCGTCTGCCCTCCTTACCTGCCTGTTCCTGCAGAAACACACACCAGAGCTTTGCAACGTGGCCCTACGTTGCGTGGTTTGACGTTTCAAGTCTGTTTCTAAAGACTCTTGACAATTCCACTGCCACTCACAGATACTCAATCCAGAATTGAATAATCCTCACTGACGAATAGATTTAACCCTACATACTATTTTTTCAAGCTGGCCAATTTTGTGACAAATTAGAAATCTTCAATGAGTTGACACATCAAAAACCAACTTTAATTCTGCTCCAGCACTCAGTTCAGGATGGACAAAATAAATATTAATTTAACAAAAGCATTAATATTAAATTTTATTCATAATATGGACAACACTTGTGCCTCAGACAAGGAGGATATGTCACAGAAAGGGCTCCAGAACTTTCTATCTCCTACACGATCCTTCTGATTTCAGACCTGGACCACTCAATCATTTCACAACGTTTAAGTATACCAAAACATCATGTTGTACACCTTAAATATGTTTTTTCAAATTTATCAATCATATCTCAATAAAGCAGGGGGATTGGGGTAAGTGGACCACCCTGAGGGGTAGTCTTTGGATGTCTTCTTTCCTCCATACTAAAATTGAAGATAAATTCCTAAACTTTTATGGAGTTTAGAAAGAAGCTCTTAAACTCAGTTTCAGGAGGGACTCATTTTAAAATAGCATGAGTCTTCCCAAAGTGAATTTTAAATAGAGCATTCTGATTTGCAGCTGTATTACAGCCTTCAAGCCCCACAAACAAACTCTATTAAGTTTAAAATCTTCAGCACGGCATGACATCTGAAACAACCAGGAAATGATAGGATGAAAAGTTGTTTAGTGAGGCAGGCATTTCTGTAACACTTCCCAAATCCTAAGGCACAATGTTGCATGAGAGGTAGAAAAGCCAGGTCCCATCTTCGCCAACTCTCATGCTCCTATTGTTAAACAAAGTGATTCTTTCAATGCCAGATTACATGCAAGGGGGTAATGATAGTGTGTATATATGTAATGCTTGTCATTTGTAGAGCATATTATCAGCATTAATTAACTTTAATTATGCAATTAGTACTGAGTTGTCAAAGACAACATTCAAAAGAATGATTATTAAATGCATTAATCCTAATAATGATCAGGCAAGCTTCCTCGGAAATGAGGCATGACTCGTCCCCAAAAGCTGAGAGATTAGCAGCAGCAGAGCAGAGCAGGAAGAGTTTGGGCTTAAGTGTAAATCTCGGCCAGTCTTGGAGAATGTAATTAACATATCTGAAGCCACAGTGTCCTTCTCTCAGACACTGGGCCCAATAATAAGTAGCGCCTGACTCTTAGACTTAGGAGGATTCAATGGGACGATGCATGCAAAGTGCCTGGCACAAGACCTAGCAGGAAACTGGTCAGTGGAGATGTAATTAGCATCAGGAACCACAGTAGACTACTCACCAAAGGCAGAGACGGCTTCCAAGTGTCCATTTCCCCTGCACACAGCATGCAGGATGTGAGGGACGCCCTGAGACTCTTCTGGTCTTGCTTGGAGGTATCACCTTACCTCTGGTCTTTCTCACAGGGGACCAGCCAATATCAGAAACTAGGCTGTCCTCTGCAGAGAAAGGACAGTCATGAGTAGCCTCTACAACAAGCCCCAAAATTCCATGAAAATCTCCAAAGGAATTCCCCGGAAGACAAAAAACCAAATGATGTAAAGTTTTACCTCTGTGAGGTCATCGAACTGCCAGTTGGTTAGTTTATCCCCAAAAGAGATAAGTATCTCATTTTCACATCTGTTGAGGAAAAGAGAACACACTTGTACAAAATCGACATCAGGTCACTCCTGGCTTGTAAGGACACCCACATGTGAGCTGTGGTAATGTTTCTACTACATCTGAAATACGCTAATTATTGTGTGATTTGAGTTTCTATGAAAAGTCTCCCATTTTTCCTGGTATGATATTAATATATAGTGGTATACCTTAATGAAGTGTGGTGTATTTTACTTGTCAGAAAATTCAATGATAAATGCATGAAAGGAATTTAAGGAGTGCTATTTTAATTCAATTTGAATTTTGAAAAATCAATCAGTGAATTCTGGAAGGATCCTCCTTTTATGTCTATGTGCTTTTCAACTCTATCCGTCGAATATAAAGTGGATGGTCTCTATTTTGTTACCTTCTACAAACAGTCTCCATTAACGCAAGAGTGTGTGCCTGAAAAAAGATGTGCTACTAGATGCCAAGCCTCTCCTATATCGCGTGGTTGTTACTGCCTGGCAAAAATCCGGGAAATGGAGTCATGCTTTCTGGTGCTAAAAATGCCCTTTAGGCCAAAAAGGTGTGGGGGCTGTCCTCTCCCCCATCACTGGCGCTGTTTTAGTCCACATCACCATCAACTCTAGCCTGCACTCCTGACTGGAGTCTTTGCTATCCCTACTCTTGATCCTTCCAAACTGTTCTCCACCCAGCAGCCAGAGTGACCCCTAAAAGGGTTCATGTCACAGCATCCCCATGGCGGAAATACTGTCAGCCCCCCCCAACACGCACTATTTCTACCTAGCGAGAAAGGCTCAATCCCACTCTGACTTCCTCTAATACCCCTCCCCCTCCCAACTGTAATGGCTGCTTCTCTCCTCACTCCACAACAGTTAGGCGAGAGATAGACAGATGCACAACTTTGCTATGGCTTTTACTGAATGTTCTGATTGACCAACTATGGAAGAGACATGTTATGGCACTGGAATCCAGAAAAAAATAATGATCCTTTCTGGGAGATCATTAACTAAAAAGAAAAAACGTTCTGGCCCAAGCCCCTCACTTACTAATTGAGAACAATAAAGCCGTTTGAATCCTGTGGGAAGAAGTGTCCAGAATCTGAGGGCTAGGGCTCAGTTGTGCCCAGATGAGAAGTCCCGGCTGCTCCTACTTTATCATGTCCACATGTATTTTGCACTCACAAAAAGGTCACTTTGAAACAGAGGGTGAACAGGGTCCTAAGGTTCTTCCTATATCCCCAACAAATAGAAAGATAGACTTAAACTCAAGCATATCAATAATTACATTAAATGAAAATAGTTTAAAAACCTCAATTAAAAGATAAAAATTGTCAGACTGGAGAAATAAAGCAACTCTACTCTTGTCTACAGGAAATGCATTTAAATATAAAGATGAAGAGAGGTTAAAAGTAAAAGAACGAGGGGCTGGCCCCGTGGCCGAGTGGTTAAGTCTGTGCGCTCCGCTGCAGGCGGCCCAGTGTTTCGTTGGTTCGAATCCTGGGCACGGACATGGCACTGCTCATCAAACCACGCTGAGGCAGCATCCCACATGCTACGGCTAGAAGGACCCACAGCGAAGAATATACAACTATGTACTGGGGGGCTTTGGGGAGAAAAAGGAAAAAATAAAATCTTTAAAAAAAAAAAAGTGAAAGAACAAAAAACTAACTACCATGCAAATTCTAATCATAAGAAAGATAGAGTGGCTATATGAATATTAGACAATGTAGACTGCAGAGCAAGTAATATTACCAGAGATAAAAAGAAACATTTCATAACAATAAAAGAGTTGATTCAAAAAGACGTAATTCCATTTACAATAGCATCAAAAAGAATAAAATACTTAGAAATAAACAGAACCAAAAAGGTTTCCCTTCCCAAGTATCTTGCCCTGTGCATCTCTTCCATCTGGCCATTCCTGAGTTATATCCTTTTATAATAAACCAGTGATCTAGTTTTAAAAAAAGAAAAGAAGAGAAAGAACAGGACAGCATGCTCCTGGGGCATCTGCAACAGGGAACACTAGTTCAAGTTGACCAGAGAATTCCTGGCTGTGTGCCATTGCAGCCAGCTTTTCCTCTCACTGGAATCTGAGAGGTCTCTCCCATGACTGTGTGGTGCACGTGTGCCCAGGCATGGCCAGGCAGTCAGGGTTTCTAGGGAGTTACAAGTGGGTCTGCCTTCACATAACAGAATGAGTCACCATCCTAATTTCCCAAGGCCATTTTTTTAAATAAAGGTGCCAAAAATAAAAACAAACCAGATTTATTGTTTTTTAAAGTAAAGAAAATAAAGGACTCTTTGGCCAAAGCTGCCTCCCATACTATAAGCAGCTCTTCAGTAAGTTCTTAGATGAGGAAATAAATATACTGGGCACGAGAATCCTCCTGTTATAAACGGTGAATTCCAGTGAGTCTTAGTTGCAGGTCTCTGCCCTTGACCTAGACTCCTAGTGTAGACCTCTGGTTTTTTAACTATCCTGGTTTTTCCAGCCATCAAAACCCTGTCAAGGTGCGGGGTCAGGGGTGGGGGGCGCTTACCTTTGCTTGGCAAATAATGCATTTGATAGGTGTTAGTTCCTCTTTGCCTTCCCAATCTAACCCAAGACCTCCTTTCCAGCTTCATGTTGCCTGCCTCCTGCAGTGGTACTGCCTCTGCGCTAGCCATGCCACATTTCTCACCTTCCCGAGGCTCCTCGACTGTGACGCTCTTCCACGCCTCCCCTGGCTGAGTGCAGAGTTCTGTCCGTGACTGTCTGGTAGCTCACGGAGGAAAAGGACCATACAAGGTTTCTCAGCATCAGGCCCAAGTGTGGTGAGGGAACAGGACAGGGCAGGGTGTGGGAGTGAATTTAATTTTGTGATTTGATGCTACGGTAGGTTGGATAAATTTCTC